CGGGCTAGACTTCGATGGACTCAGGTGTGAGCGTCGAGGGCCTAGGCATGGATACAGGGGTTTGGGGTCTCAAGCATGGGCACCGCGATCACAGGCCCGGCCTCAATGCACTCGAGCCTAGGCATCAGAGACTTTGGTCCTGAACATTGGGGACCCAGGAACCAGAGTTGGAGTTTCCACGCCCAAATGTAAAGTTTCAGGTCCAAGTGCCTATACCTAATTATATTTTGGAAAATGATTTTTTCTTTAAAAAAAGAGGAAATCATTTTCCTGAAACTTAAGCATAGGTTTTCCATTGATCTTGGAAAATATTTTTCATTGACTCATTTTCTTAAACGAATCAAATGCCAGAAAACGAGGAAAATATTTTTCACAAAACAAGCAGAGCCTTAAACACTGCTTCAATTTTCGAAGTAGAATCGCCTTTGAGTTGCATCGTTGGTGCATAGTGTTAATGTTGCTACACGAAGCCGCATATGTTTTTTTCGAGATAGTGAGTCCTTTTTGTGTCTTTAAGGCAAAACGTAAGAACGCATGAAAAAAACTTCAGAGCACTAGTAGTCTCAAAGAGCTTACGGGGATAAGAGACACGATTTTGTGGCAGGGCTTTCTTTAATATCTTTCGAAATGGCGACACTGGTTACGTGCTAATTGGCTCGATCAGAGGAAGCCGTCGTGCTTCGAGAGCATCTTAATATCACTCGTGATAATTTTTAGGATAATCGCGGTTAGTGTAAGGGTACCACCTAAAACAATTTTCTCAACAAACATGGAACTTTCCTTTTAGGCCATAATATATATGGGCCGGGACGCCCATTGACTGTCCGCCTGTCTAGCCTAGTTCTGTGCATGGATGGGTCGGTCCATTCTCATTTCGAATTGATTTGATGCCCAATCAATTTCGGCAATTTGACGTGGCCAATATAATAAAATCCTTAATTTCATCACCGAAGTGCTTCTCTGGGGACTCCTGAAAACAAAATCTACCTAGACTCCCATTAGAAAGTCAAGCTATGAACATATTACCATTTGGAAATAACACATGGGCTGGCAGTCTGATCTCAATGCCGGCGAACTAGGTCCGATGGTGGTCGGTCGAGGACTATGGCGTCGATGGAAGTGAATTGCAAAAATAATTTTCGCTCTTTAAAAACATAATTCATTTTTTCTCGACATTTAAATACGTAATGTCTGCCGATCATGATTTTCTTAACTGGTCTCGAATGGTGTGAGCTAATGTACATCTTGATAGTTTGATAACAACTCGACATATTCTTTTGGGATAAGTATATTGAAAGTCTCAAAATTTGTCATAAAAGTATAATTGAGTTATAAAACTTACAAAAAGTATAGTTAAATCCTAAAACTTGTCAAATTGATGCAATCGGGTCTTTCTATTAACTCCGTCTAACTTGATTAATGGGAAATGTTGACGTGATTATTTTTAATACTCTCTTTTCTATGTGATGAGGATGTGACTAAAACATGAAACATAAGGCTAAAACGACGTCGTTTTGATTCAAATCTGATTTTTAAAATAATTTTTATTTAAATTTAATTAAAAAAATAAGCTAACAAATATAGGTGGGAACCATCCGATGAGGGATGTAGCCACCCCACCATCGCCGGGAAGGTCCGACAAGGGTCACGGCAGCCCTCACCGCCTAATTCCCACCCTTTTTTTTTAGCTTTTTTATTTAATTTAAATAAAATTTGATTAAAAATCAATTTTGAACCAACATGATATCGTTTTAGCCACGTCATTGCCACATAGGATAGAAAAAATAATAAAAAAAAAGTCATGTTAACATTTTCTGTTAACCAAGTTGGGCGGAGTTAACGGAAAGACTCGATTGTACCAATTTGACAAGTTTTAAGACTTGATTGCTATTTCATAATAAATTTTAAGACTTTCAGTACACTTATCTTATTATTATTATTAGTTTTTCCAGAGATCATGGGTAAGATTCATGGTGAGGCAGATGAGTGAAGAAACCTTTTTGGGAAAAGTTGTTGATAAGAGCCGGACTGTTTCTTTGGATAAACTGATAAATGTGAAGTAAAATCGACCCAAGCTTTGCTTATCTTCTTTCATATTATTATAATTCTTTTGGGGCCAAACCGGCTTCGTCTATCTTCCTTAAAAGAAAGCTCCATCCATCCGATAGCAGACATGGGGCAGATGAAGATGTGACAATGATGATGAGAGCAGAAATGGTGGATCCGCTGGTCCCGTAGTGCCCCATCATTTCGGCCGATATCTCCTCTGTCACCGCAGGAGACGAAGCGTCTTTAACTTCTCTGCGATGATTGAGACATTGCATCTCTCTCTCTCTCTCTCTTTCCATCATCCATCCCCGGACAATTCACAGCATTGTTATGGTAATCGTACTCGTAATTTGATGATTAATGTCGACTAATGTCAACCACGGCTCCGTTAAACAAGTCGATTACTGACTTATGGTGGAGAGAGGGGGCGGGCGCATCTATCTTTCTTTCTTCGTTTGCCGTCTCGTCTACTGCTGTTACGTCCCTTGCTCTAACAAAGGAGCTTTATTTATCCGCGAATTCGACGCAATGAATCGTGCCGTATTTTGATTATCTCTGTGTGTCTGTGGATGCTTTGCACCTCGGTTAACTTCGCCAAGTGCGGATGCACTTGCAAAATGGAATGTTTTATCAACCGAGGTCTGTGCATCAATACCTTAGTTCATGGTCTTTTCAAAAGGAATTAACTTCAGTATGTGAAACGCAAATTCGCTTTTGTTTGAACCTTGAAGAGGTTGTGAAAAGGCTCGAAACTGTGTCCATATAAAGATAGGATTTGGATGGGTTTAGGACCTACATCGCTGTCGCTAGAATATTCGAGTTAGGGCACCAACGAAACACTAAATGCCCATTGAAGATGAGTCCAACGCCGTGGCCCCAGGTGTGAGTGGGAAAGCCTCAAGATCGGTTCACCTCTGCCCATACTCTTTCCTTCACATACTAACCAAGATTCTTTAAGATCGATGATAAGCTGCGGAATCTAACTTGTGACCTTCGACTTGCAAATCAAGCCCCGGACCACTTGACCAGCCGCATAGTCAATACTAAACTTTGTCAACTCCTCTTCGCATGGAATACTGTTGCACGAGTTGACGAACTTCAATCGTATGCTATATATGATCCGTTTATCTAAATGCTTGCGTACAGTTTGTCACATCGTCGGCGAGGCACGAGCCGGGGCCGGAAATAATGGTCTTAACATAAGATCATTGTTGCTTTGATACGCATATAGCGTTCCTCTTCTGCATATTTATACGTGAAAGAGCCTATTCAAATACGTCGGGGGCCCCAACCAAACTGCAGCAGATGAATGCAGACAAAATCTCTGATGCGTGAACATGAAGCAAGACTCCAAAACAATAAGTGATGTGTATGTTCTCGTGGCAGTCAGTCCAGCGGGACGCGTTCGTTCCTTTGGAAAAGGGGCACAATAAATGTTGCTGTAGTACCCAATTTCATCAAATCTTGGCCCGTCTCGAAGATGCACGAATCCTTTTGTATGTTTGCGATTAAAACAAAGATACTATCCAAATTCCATAAAATTAATGTGAAGTTCATTCGTGAATCTATGAATCAGTGTATGGATGTTGTAAAAGTTTATACGATGTTTCGGATTAAGAAAATCGGAAAAGCGAAAGTTATCCTAGGCAGATCTTTATTTTTTTGAAATTTATATTGAATAAAATTAATCGCAGCAAAGAATGCGTTTGATTTGCGGAAAATGAATGATTTGAAAAATATTTTTTCTAGAAATGATCTCTGCCACTCACAAAAATGAATGAACGGAAATTTTTTTCATTTATTGTTGATAATGAAAAATATTTGTACTGTCAATAATGAATATATTTTTAATCAATTAATTATTTCAATTGATGTAAGCAATAATTTTTTAGGATTATATTTTTCAAATCATTTATTTTTCACAAAATAAACGAAAGGAGATTGCCAAGAGGGAGCCTAAGTTTGAGTCCGTCAAGATATCCAGTTATATCGAACTTCACTCAAAAGTTTAAGTCAAATAGTTATGGGTCAAGTTGAACATATTAATTATTTTACACTATATCAATTCTCCGATGTGGGACTTTTCAAACACAACTATCTCAACAATCTCCCCTTCATGTGTGAGCTTAGTGATACGTTTGCACCCTCTCAATTTAGGTTTCCTTATGCATTAACATATCTCAACTTGAATATCCAATACTCACCTTCATCCCTTGTTTTTTTCTCCAGACCAAACCATGAAAGTTGCCATCAAGACCGTGTTGCTACACCACAACGCCCACCTGCCCGGAAACCGTGTTGGTCACAAGGTTCCTTCATTGAGATAGATTGGGGGCACAACAATCTATCATCGGCTCTAGTACCAGATGTTAAGATTAGTCCTACAAACATAACGAAATAGAGAGTAAAGGCGAGGAAGAGAAATCGACACACAACCTGGTTTACCCTTAAACTAGGGTTACATTTAGTCGAGGATTCCACTATAATTATCACCTCCCACCTCTTTGTTACAACCCTTAATTACAAGAGAGGTGTATACTCAATTGTTATTAATGGGTGTAAATCTAAATTACCAATAAGATATACGTGCAGATTATAGAAGCTTTCTAAGAAGTATGAACCATATGCCCCGGTAGTTCCGACTGTCTTTTTTCTTAGATAAATGATATTTGACAATCGTGTGGTGTTCAGCTGACATCGTCTCCATTCTCGAAATTGTGTCAAAATTCTGGTAAGAGTTTGGGATGTGTAGCGGCACTTTGATGCAACCAAGAATACTGCTTCCTTTCTTGTATTGGACAAATTGAAAGCTACAAATTAAAAAAGAACAACAAAACAAGAGAAACTTTATAAAAAAGAAATTGACAAAACTAAATGGATTCGAGTTCGTCCAAAAACAGTAGGAAAAAGCTGAAAAACGGGGCACACAGACTGAAACCAATGGCCATCGCCCGTAGAATTTTAGGAACTGTTCCTTTTGGCCTCTTCTTCTGGTCACGACATTCGCCTTTTTTGCATCAGTCGCTAAAGGAGGTAACTTTCATGGACATGCGCTCTTGAATTTCGGTGGACTCTCCAATTCCATGTGAAAGGCGATGCGGGCGTCATGATTCTTTCGATCGTAAAGCCTCGAACTAACTAAAATTCTCGTTTCGCTATTCGACAGAGAGGTCGTCCTAAGGAATATGAGAAAGAGAAAGGCCTGCATCATAGCAAAACGGATCGAGATCACAAACCCGATGTGCGGTCGAGCGCGAAAAACCCGGGTCGCGCAGGACGTGAATTTCTCGGATGATCTCGTGTAATTACATTTTCTAGGAATGTTCCAGGTGAATGTGGCACTTGCATGATTGAACTCTTGTGGCATTCCTCATCTGTTCTGTTCACCACGACTGTAACTTGCCTGTTCTGTTTACTGCAGGGAGATGACTCAGAGTTCTCTGCTTCGCAATTCCTGAGGTCAGAGAGAGAGAGAGAGAGAGAGAGAGATGGAGGCCTAAAGTGCACGTATGCCTTTCTTGCTACCTATAAATTCCCACTCACCACTCTTTCTCTCTCTGCTTGCTTTGTGTTCTGGAAAAGAAGAACGAGCTTCGTCATACAAAGGCCTTGGAGATAAACTCCCCCATCTTTCTTGCGTCGCATAGCCGAACTCGAAAGCTTCTCGATCACACGAAAGGGCGCGAAATGCGACCGCCGCCGATGGAAACAACCACAAGAGACGCCGCGGCGACCGCCATACACAAGATCCTCCACCTCGCTCCGCCGCCGGCGACGTGCGGCCCCCGCGCCTGCTGGCGGCGGGCCGCTGCCAACTCTGACTCTTCCGGCGACCTCCAGACCTACCTCATCGTCCTCGTCCTCTGCTTTCTCCTCTGCGCCTTCGCTCTCACCTTCGCCGTCCGCTGCTTCCTCCGCAGCCAGCCCCCGCCCCCGCCCCCGCAGAGCAGCCTGCCTCCTCGGGCTCGGGGCGAGGCTGAGCAGAAGCCCGCCGGCGAAGGGACCGTGCCTGCCCTGGCGGCGGCGGCGCTGATGGTGTTCTCGCCGGAGGTGGAGCTGGCCGGTGTGGAGGCAGAGTGCGCGATTTGCCTGACGGAGTTCGTCGGAGGGGAGGAGATCAGGGTCCTGAAGGGCTGCAGGCATGGATTCCACGATCAATGCATAGAGAAGTGGTTGTCTTCGAAGTCGTCTTGCCCGACCTGTCGCAGCAGCTGCGTCGTCGTCAATTGCTTGGCGCATGAGAATGGCACTGCCCAGTGCTCTGAAAACGGCGGAACGCCCGCATCTCTTTCTCAGAGAGCGACAGAGCAAGTTTGATTGTCGAAGAGTTCGTGCAGTTTTCATTTCACTTTTTGCCTTGGAAATTCGAATTCGTTGCTTGTGTTGGTGATTGATTTTCTCAGACATCAATGAAATGAGTTTTTAAGTCTCATCTTGATAGTTCTTCGTGTACTTAACTTTCCTCCTCCGCCGCCATGCGACAGACTTCAAGTCAGCAGCTGAAGTTTTGTGCTTCTCTGAACTAGACGATCATCGGCCTCGCGAGTGATTTTGGGCGAGCTGGGACGAGACTATTTTAATCACGAAATCCGATCCGGCCCGATTGGGCTCACGTCGATCGAAGAATTGTACATAAATTTTCTCTTGCATGCGAGCTCGGGCTGCAAGTTATCCCGACATCAGGTGATCAGATCAAAGAGCCAGACATATTCATGATCCTAAACCTTAGAAATGATTGAATAAATGAAGGCACTATATTACGAAAAACGCTTGGAGAATGCAAAGCAGAGCATTACCAAGGATACTAATGTGACATTCTGTGAGGCAATGTTTGATCAATTACAAGTCCTGTCAACAGAACTCGAAACTTGAGGTGCAAAAGCTTTGACCCAACTCTTCAAGCTCATCCATATTCGGCACTCGCGGAGGAGATACACTCCAGCACCAGGCTTGATGAGATTGGAGCTCGTGCTTGTGTTGGAGCTTATCTTGAGCCGACCCTTCAAGCTTGTCCACGATTGGCGAGCAGAGGAAGAAAGCTTACAAACTAGTCCAGGTAGTCCAGAAAGGCAGAGCATATATACACAAGTGACATTGTCCCTGCAATAATAGGAATCGATGGCAACTAGCTCGGTGTTGACAGATCCTCCCAATGCTAAGCTGAAACCGGGGAGCTGCAGCTATAGTATTTCACAATCACCGGTGCGTGCGTGCAAAAGGGAATAGCTATAATGAGAGAAGCAACCGAATTGGCCCGAGGGTCTGGACCGATGCGCACATGATTTTTCGAACGGACTTGCATCCGACCCATTACAGGTGAAAGACCGATTTCCACAATCTTTGTCTTTCATCGAGTTCCGTCGAGAAGCGGATAGTTGTGCTGATCGGGGTCGGTAGAATTAGAAGGCACCCGGCTTTCGGTAGAAGTTCAACCTCCGAAAGTTACTTCTTCGTTTCTGACGATCGAAGTGCAGAATCAAAAACAGAAAAAAAGAAGACAGAGGACAAAGGTAATGTATATTCTTTGGCAATTATATGCTTAGTATCTCTTTGCTTTTGGTACCGGATGCCCCATTGTACCTAGAAGCATCTGCATCATCTGTACTTGAACACATGTATTTGTAACTTTCTGTAAGGCAGAATTCTATTAACGAGTAAAAATATACAGATTTTTTTTTCTGCGCCGGTAAATTTCAATAAGCATTGGTAAGTGTATCTATTATTTTGATAAAAAAAAATGACCGGCGACCTTTTTTTTTCGGGTAAGTTTTTATTACATTAATAAATACCAACACTTTCATAAAATTTCCAACTTTTTTGATAGTTTGCAAAATAGAACTTTTTGAACTAACTTATCAATTTTTGTTTGCATAACTTATATATATCGCTTCAGATTCAGTAACATTTGCATAAAAAATTAAAATTGAGCGTGTTTTTTTTAAGAAAAGCCAATAAAAGTTGACAAACAATAACAAAAGTTGATAAACTAAAAAAAAATCCAATGAAAGTACATGAAATGAGAGTCGATCACCTAAAAGCTGGTAAATTGAAGGCACTCGTGAGAAAGACAAATAAGATATTGATAGAAAGATAAAGAAAAGTTAGTAATTTCCAAACCTTAAAAAAGAGTTGGTAATTTCATAAAAGTGTGGTACTTTCTAACAAGTTACCAAAACATCAAATCACCGGTTTACCAACAGTTTTCCCGGAGCATGTGGAAGTTAGGAGTGTGCAAAGGAATTGGGAACCACCCGAAACCGAGCCGGACCAGCCCAGAATCGGTGGGTACTGGTCCGGTTCCTAATTCCAGGTATGCAACTGCCTACTCGTCCACTCGGACCAGACCGGTAATATTGTGTATTCGCATTTTTTGTATTTCGTCACCGAGAGCATGACATTTTGCATCAAATTCGGTGGTGATAATGTCGAATATGGGAATTGAGATGGGCTCGAGATAACGATTGACCGAGGATCAATAGAAATTCGAGCGATGGACAAACTTTGGACAATCGGGGTGAAGTGGATACTCTCAAAAGCAGAAAGATTAGTAGATGCTAGTCAAAGCTAAAATGCTGATTTCCTGCTGGACTTTGCTGAGGGAAACATGTATCGACCCTCCCCAATCCAAGCACTATACTTCCTCTCTGGTGGAGCTACCACCTTTATCTCTGCGCCGCTCGGAGCAAGAGCAGAGATCTCCTTACTCGAGCGGTTGGCCATTCCCGGAAACATCATAGATCCACCACTGAGCACGATGTTCCTGTACAGGTCTTTCCTGATCTCGTCATCGCACTTCTCGACGGAATTACAGAGGGTCTCGTGAATCCCGGCTGCATGCATCCCAACCAGCCACGGCTGGAATAGGACTTCGGCGCATTCGAAACGCTCGGTGCCGATAGTTATGACCTCTCTATCAAGTAACTCGTAGCTTTTCTCAACTGCCGGACTGTGTCAAGCAGTTTCTCAATCTCCTTCCCGTAGTCGAGAGCCATGTAAGCAAACTTCTCCTTGATGCCACGGACGATTACCGGTTTGATCGAGTCCTGCGGATAACCTCTCCGAGTCAATTTCTCCATCAAAGCATCCGTCACGTCTTGCCCGGCAAGGTCAAATTGCATGATGCCTTGGGGCTTCCCATAAACTTCATAGACCGGAATTGAGCACGACAACTAGATAAAAACAACGTTAAGAAGGAAACCGCTAAAAGAATCGAAGTTTTAAGACAGGAATAGAAAACGTAACACCATTGAGCTCTAGTGTGTTTTTTAAATTCATATATTCCGGTTACAACGAACCTGTTGTGCGACCAAAGGCATAAAGGACGTGGATAGCCGATATTGGGGAAAAGTATAAAAAAAAGTCATAAATTTATTGCATTGGTATCAAATTAGTCCTAAGCTTTTCAATTGAACCAATTTAGTTCTAAATATTTTCACATTAGTACCAATTCAGTCAATCCAATCAATTTAGGCCGAAAATCGTTGACGTGAACGCCGGCCGTCCACATGGCGCTACCGGCGGATTGCCGGTGCTGACGTTGATAATTTTTAATAATTTTGTGAATTTTTTTAATAATTTAAAATAAATCCCTTTTTTTTCCGTTCTCTTACCTTTGGCCTGTGGTTGGCACTTGACCATGGCCGGCGAGGGCATCGTGGTCCTCGTAGCCTTTGGCGAGGGCCCTCGCCTAGGCAGCGAGGGTCGAGCACTTGCTAGATCTGGCGAGGATCATGATGCCCTCGCCGGTCTTCACTTGTGACCGGTCGCCGGCAATGGCCAAGTTTCGCCCACAGGCCAAAGGAAAAAAAAAGGAAAAAAAGGAAAATGAAAAAAAGGATTTTTTTTATAAAAAAAATTAATAACTAATTCAAAAAATTATTGAAATGTCTATGTCAGCGTCGATCGTCCGTCAGCCGTGTCACGTAAGACAAGTGCACGTCCACGTCAGCATTTTCAGGCTTAAATTGGCCAGATGGACTGATACCAATGTGAAAATGTTTAGTACTAAATTGATCCAATTAAAAAGTTTAGGACTTAATTGGTAGTAATACAATAAGGCTGCGTTTGGTCGACCGGATAAAAGCTAGGATAGGATATGTTTTATCCTATCCTGTGTTTGGTGGTGGTCCAGGATAGGATAAGGTTAGATATAGACCGGATATAGCCCGGATAAAAAAATCCGAGTGGGGTGGGATAGACCTGGATATGATTTCTAATGCCTATTTTTCCAGAAACCCTACACTCCACTTGCCATCATCTTCATCCCCACACCTTGTGCGCTTTCACCAAAAAAAATTCTCGGCTTCTTTTCCTTCACCGACTCCTCTGGACCGTGAATAGCAAAAAAAAAAAAAATTATCCTATCCGACTTTAAATCCGTAGTCCACCAAACAGTGGATAGGATATGAAGAAATCCCAGGATTTCTTATCCTATCCTATCCAGTCCTATCCTATTTAGAAATCTGGACAACTAAACGCGGCCTAAGTTTATGACTTCTTTTAGTATTTTTCCCACCGATATTGTAATAGATGGGCCCAACAGGCCAAGCCCATATCTTCAAGATAAGCCCATGTCCAACTCATTTCCTTTCTTCTTCAACATATGATGCACGTTGAAGCCCGCAGAGAAAAGCAAGGGAAATGGAAGGGCTCGTCCTTGAAGAGGAAAAATAAGGGAAAAGAGAGGAGAGAAAAATCTTCGCGCATAACCGTTTCGAATGTTCCGACAAGCCAAATCAATTCCGAATTCCAATGCCCGGTAAGTATTCGACCTCTTTATTCATACAATCGAGGGAATTTTCCGAATTATGACTCGGAATTAAGGGAAATTTGAACTATGAAATCCGATTTTGGAATTACGACTTCATTGTGTCCTTTCTGACTCCCCATCCTTAGCGGCCATCACTCTGTTCTTTTCTCCCACCATCCTGTTAGACAATAACATGTTCCTGATCAAATGACAATGTTGCTGAGGAGACTAACAGGAATTATAGCCTCAGGCATTCATTCTGCACAGTAAGTTTAAGCAATTGATTTGTGCTGGTCAACACCAGAACCAATGGATGACATGTGCCGTGGCTTGAAGCAAAAGTTGGGTGTACCCTCTGGTACAGCTTCGTTTCATAACTATCCGACCCAATGCAGGTGAGAGACGTTGCTATGGCGTTCGAGGGTGAGTTCGCACTTAAAAGCAATTCGGTGGTGTTGGTACCTAATTTTACCAGAAGAAGATGTTACGCTATGCTAGCATTGAGTTATGTCTTTACCTGCAATTCCTAGAAATGCTGGGGAAACTTTTCTCGACAAATGCCTTCTATCAAATGCCGGAAAATGTGTGCTCTATTGTAGTGTTTGTATAGTACATATAATTCAAATCATCTACCATTGTGAATTTTCGCAATCCTCCTCGCTATCTCTTTCGAATGGATGATT